TAGTATATTTATTATAATATTAAAGAATTCATATATGATGATAATTTTAATTATATGCAAATAATATGAATTACAAATGTTAAAAATAATTATAATTTATTACATTGTACAAAACACAAAATAACATACATACTACAAGCATAATATATAAAAAAGTAAGGATATATCTCGATGTATGTATATATTTCATAAGCATTTAGCCGAAAAAAAAACTGCAAAACATGACATACTATTAACTAATTTATTCAGAAATATGTGTTCTTTATAGAACTAACAACGCACATACATATATTTATCACAATATTTTACATATTTTAACAAACATATACTAACATTTACTCAATAATTAATCATGTCAAATCAATATATACTATATATAATTAATGTATAACTTGAATATAAAACTTAAATAAGAACATATATATTAATGAATTGTCTAAAACATATCTATTTATTCAATTACATATATAAGTTATTGTTAATATCATGGTACCTTTAATGCTTATTTAAATTTTATATATTCGTTGTATTTTTTTACTTTAAATTCTGTTTTTTTTAGAAAAAATTCAATGGAGAAATTTCTAAATGTAATAAACAGAGTTATTTTCTGTATTCGGCAATGCATTAAATTGATAGGAAAATGTAGTTATGGTTTAATTGTAGAAAAGATTTTTTTGCCTACTGATGTTATTCTAAAAAATTTTTTTTCATTCATGTATTACAATTTATTGGATTTAAATGATTATGGTGTGAAGAAATGTTTGTTTTTGAATTCATGGATAGGAAAAAAAAAATGTATAAACAAGGAATATTAAAACATTGTATCATATGAACAAGTGGAATGATTATATATAAATTATATTCGATAACATAAATTCTTCAGTATATTGTAATTGTCATTAATGTTGTAAATTATATCCATCTGTAACTTATATAAGTTTACCTATAAATATTCAAGGAAATTTAGAGGTTTTTAGAAAAAATAGTTCTGTATCACATTCATTATAGGAATTGGCTGCTCATTATATTAAACCATCTGAATCTCAAATTTCTAATACTGTTGTACTATCAATAACGAACTTTATTGTTATTGCTTTTTTAGTCATATTAATAGTTGTATTTATAATTTCCTTCTCTTTTAATATAATATAAATAATAATAAAATTCATTATAAATATTTAAGAATTACATAAAATAAGTTATCATTAAAATTAATGTAACTATTTGAACACATTCTAAATATTCTTTTAATATTAATTTTATATATAGTATTCAAAATATATAAACTCATAAAAATCCTACTGTATATAACAATGACTTTTTATTAAGCCCAACAAACGGTGGTAATTATATAGGTTATCAACGTTAAATTAATTCATAATTAATATTCAACTAAAAATATCAAAATATAATTCTACAATATTATAATCTATATACTCATTTCAAAAGAGATATACATCCTGAAAAGTATGTAAAAATTATACAAGAAATAAAAATATATGTAGGATATAAAATATTATTTAAATATTGAAAAAAAAAAAAAATTAATCATATTTGAGAAATACTAATCTATGATTTATTGTAAATTAAAAATGTAAAATATTACATATATAAATATATAACAAATTATTTTAAAAAAAAATTATTCTTAATTCAATTTTTACTCAATATTAATTAAAACTCATATTATGATTTTAAATATGTATATAAAACTTTATTACGACATATTTTTTTATATTAAATAAAATTTTATATATTTTTCATTAATTATTACACTTATAAAAATACACATATTAGTGTTTCTTAAAATATATTTATTTTATTTCTTATGAGCTTCATGTACATAAATATAATCAGAAAAATATACCATAAGGTATTTTCTAAGAACACATAATTGCTGAATAATACAGATTTCCTTTTATATTTCTCATATCTTTCGTATAAATTTTATGCTTTGCTTTCTCTTTTTTTTTACTCTCTATTTGTGTGTTATACATAGGAATGGAGCAAAATAATCAATCTATAATTAAAATAGTATTGCTCATACATATGTAAATATATATATACATATATAATAGATGAAATAAAAAACACATTCATATAATAGTTTTAAATTATAAACTAAAATATATATATAAGGGAATGATTAATATACATCATACAAAGTTTATATGTTGAATCTTATTATATTATCATGTGTAATATTATTACTACATCATATTTATTTTTCTATAGCTATTAAATACAAGGAATAACACTTACAATAATATAAAATATTTAATTTTTGAAACAGTGATAACATATTTTATTTATTTATGCTCTATTGATAAAAATATTTCTATTTTTTATTGTTAAAAGTTAGAATACTATAAATTTCAAAATTTACTATATAATTCATATTAAAAGCAAATAGTGTTTAACATTAACGTTTGATTTGATGTATTTTTAATTTATTATTTACTTAAGTAGTAATATTTGCATAAGAGCTATAATAATTACGGCGTATGATATAATTAGCATATAGATACACTTTTACACAACTAATAAAGCAGTATATTGAATAAATAATAATCATAATACAAATATAATATATGTACAAAAAAAATCTACAATAATTATGATGATTATATATTATAATTAATCATAGAGTAGTATATATATATATTATTGAATTAAGAAGATAATACTCTATCAATTTGCATATGCTAGATTTATTGGTACAAAATTACAAGTGAGATCCATTATCTCTTGATGAATCCACAATGTATGTTGTTCTTTGGAGATAACAATTAATTTATTTATTTTGATTAGAATTATTTAAATTAATAAAATATAATATTATTTTAGTTTATATTTCATCTTTTATAAGAGCATATTTATTATAATTTAATTAATGCTTTTCTCAATTCCAGTAACCCTATGACATTCATGGGATTATGTAGTTATAAAAAAGAATTATTCTTTATAAGCATTTGATGAAATTATCCTATTACAATATTATATATGAAACGTTATGTTTTATTTTTTTATATTTTATTTTTTTTAATATATATTTCCTTTTATTTTTTCATATAAATATGTAAAATATTTGTTGCATTCCTATAATGATTATTCATGAAAATAGATAATACATATTATATATATATTACTATATTTTCTCTAATTAATTATATAAATTAATAATATTCAATATATTTTTATATATCCTTGCGGCAATATTAAATAATTATAATAATAAATGATGTTTATATAAGGATATATCAAAAAAATTATCTTTTATTCTCTATCCAAAATTAAAAAACGCTTATGAGACTATTTCCATTATATTATTATTGTATATAAATGTTTCTGTTCTTATAATAATTTATTTCTTAGAATAAATATATTTATTCTTATAATTCATATTCTTAAGCGAAATAAACATGAATTTATTAATTCGTATTACCTATTTTTATTAGCATTAGTTTACTAAGGAATATTTTAATCGGCACTTATGATTTGATAATTCCTGTGATATTTTGAATGAATCTATTAAGTTGAAATCGTCTGTACTTTTTCGGATCAACCTGTTCTTTAATCTCCTTACTCTAGGATGTAATAATGACCCCAATGCAGTAAACTGAAAGTAAAAAAAAAGAATATAATATTTTTGTGCAGTATCTACTAATTTGTTATATATCTTTTAATATGATGTGCATCATAATTTGTTTTATAACAAATATTTAATAAATTAAACATATTTTTAACCTTATAAATAAAGAATATAATTAAACTTACTGTAATTATTAAAAATACTATTCCTGCGAATGTTCCTGTGTCCACCTGTGCGACAGGCTCTGATGTGATCTGTTGGACTGTAGATTGTGTCACCTCTTGAAGCGAAGATGATATGAATTTTTGATCCTTAGATGATGTCACCTTTGGGACCTGGTCTGCATGCTCATTTTTATCTGTTTTCTGAAATTTCTCTTGTGTATATTTCTTTGACTCTTTCTCTTGAAGCATCTTTCTATCTTTTTCTTCAGGAGAATCTATTATAGTTGGTGTTCCTGGGCAGTAATCTTTGTGATCTTTATACCTGTTATATGATTTACTAAAATTATCCAGCAAATTGTAAATACTAGCATTTTGGATTTTTAATATATCTCTTTCATTTATAAGATCATTATATTTCTTAACACATGGTCTACGAAAATGACATACATAATCATTTCTACCTATATCATCTATATACTTATATAATTCATCCATGACATTAAATATTTTATATGTCCCGTATTCAAGTTTTTTAATATGACCTTTGCATACATCAGGTATAGACATTCTTACATTGTTTCTGTGTCTTGTTATTTTATTGTAGCAATCGATTTCATTATTGTTGCATTTTGTACCAAAATTTTTAAAAATCTCATTTAGCTTATAATTGTAATATTCACAATTTTGTTCATTACTAGTAGGAAATTTATTTTTTATATAAAATAAATAACTACCAGTATCTATGCAATGTAGATAAAAACTACATTGACCGCGTATTCCGGTTAATTCTTGACAAATGTCCATGCACGCAAATCCCAAACTGGTATTTTCTGGGGTACCATTACGATAAATATTCTTTGCTGCTTCATACTCATTTCTGCATTTGGGATATATACTACTGAAATCGATCTACAAAAGAAAGACATGAAATATATATAAAACATAAATTTTATATTTAGGAAATCCTTAGAACATCTTTTCAAAAATAATGATAAATTATATATATGTAATTTAAAATAAAAAAAAACATACATTCTTATGTAAACTTACACTACTAGCCATAATGATCTAAATATGAGATTTCACGAAAAATATATTTTTCACTTTTCAATTAGTTTTTATACATTGAAATCATAAAAATATATTTCATTATGATAGGCTTCAGGATTAGGGTTTTAGATATGATTTTCTTATTCATTTTTTGATTTTTCTTAATAATACTTTAATTTTATCAATTATTTCCTATATAATAGTATCTTCATCATATTTTCTTAAAATATAATAAGAACTAAGGAATACAAAACACCTTAATTTATATGAATTATATTTAATTATTACAAACACTATTTGTTAATAATTTATTACTATAAATAATATAATATGATATATCTTATAATAAAAATAAATATTTAATTAAATTTATACATATTTAATTTTAAATGCATTAATGAAAGATTATTATAATATATATACGCATTACATGGATAACCATTATGCATTAAAAGAATTAATTAAATTTTATATTTTACATTATATATCCTACTCACAAAAGTTTTATAAAATTAATGGATTCTTGTTTTATTATTTAAGTAATAAAAAGGGTTAATATTACTATTATAAAATAATCACTAATATTCCATGTAATTATGTAGTATATTTATTTTTATTATATTTATTGTTAAGTTCAATGTAAAATTAATTCATAACATTCTTCTATATTATTTATTTTTTACGCGCTTTAATATAATAAAATTGTTCTTACTCAATATGCTAAACAAATTATGTTAATTGTGAAATACAATAAAAGATACGATATGTATTACTGTATATAAATAAGAAATAATTTATGTGTTCATATTATATTGATTTTTTTAGAAAACAATGCACAGAATACAAATTTCATAATTATTATAACTCATATTACCTTATGTAATTATAAAAAAATCAAAATTTTTAATATTATTTGTTTTTCAAATAAATATTTCTCAAAATGAGATAAAATAATTGAAAAATAAATTTAGTTAATACTTATAAGAATAATAAGACTGAAGTAATATACTGTTTATTAAAAAATATTTAAAAATATATATATATAAGCAGAATATTAAATATGTAAAGCTTAGACATACAAACTTTATTAATCTTTATTTAATTAGAAATAATATTATATATATTATACTACCTTATAATAAACAAGTTTTACATTTTATTATATAAGTTATATAAACTGAAATTTTTATTAATATAATATTAATTAAATATTGTTTATCTCATAACAATAAAATATTAGAGAATAATTTATCTGTTATTTATCATCTAAAACGACCATAAATTTATTAGAATGTTAAGGTTTATAAAGGTTCAAATTAGTTCAGTTTAGTATAAAATCGATTCTATTTAACATATTACATATAGATAATCAGATTTCATTACTTAATTATACAAAAATTAATATAAATCTCATTCATACAATTTCTTTGTTATATAAGGTTTTATAGACAAAACAAGTTCACACGAAGTTATATTATAATAAAGTATAATAATATATGTATACATAAGCATATTATAATATGAAAAATATAATATATATTAAAACATACAAAAAAATTATGCTATTTTTATATGTTGTAAAATTTTTTTAAAAACATCCATTTTCTAACTTATAAGCATATATATATATCATATAATATAAAATTAGAATTTCCTGCATAAAGGTTATATCAAGAATGATTATCTAGGTGAATGCTTTTTTTATTAGTATATTTAATTCTATTTTTTTCTTTCAAATAATTATATATATATTATCCTATTAAAATTATGTCCTCTGACTTTTAGATTTTCTCTTTATTTTTATGTTGAAGAGCGAAGGTAAAAATAGAACACACAATTAAACATATTTATTTTAGTATATTAGTTTTATTAAAGTGTTCCATTACAAATAAATTAGGCATATCAATATTAATCATTGATATGCTCAAAATATGTTTTATATAAGAACATATAAATGTAAAAAATTATGAGATTTCTCAACGGAGCTACGAATATTATTTAATAAGGATTATTAAATAAAAAACAGATGTCTTCTTATATGATTATATTTCATACTACACATTTACAAAATTGTATATTAAGTTATAATATACATCTAATTTACAATTTTATTATTTAACAACAAACTTCAAAGTAATTCATCCATAAGTGTATTAGATGCTACTATTAGTTTTTATAATTTCCGAATAAATTCTTTTTATGCATAAATATTTTTTGTAATTTAGGTTCATATTTTATATTTTTACGGAATTACTGCCAATATTATTGAACTCAATAAAATAATGTCTTCTTTTCTTAATATATGGGTTATATTATTAAATATATAATTTATATTTATACATGATTAATAAATATTATAAATATTTGTATTCTACAATATGCTAATGTTTATTAATACTTATTACATATAGTAACAACATATAGATAAACAGTTATAAATTTATCTTCTTCTATAAGAATCATATAATATATTTTTGTTCTTATTATTGAATTTAAGCACATTTTAAAGGGTATGTGGTGATTTAATAAAAATTGATTTTATATAAAATTATAAGAAATTAATCAAGTTATGATAGTGCTAATACAAGGTATAAAAATTATTTATCTTATGTATATTAGTTTTATGTTCTAGTATAATACATTATTAGATATAACATCGACGATGTAAATTATCTCCAGAAGGACAGCAGTATAAGGAATACAAAAAATGATGTATATTTTATTTTTACTCATAACTCCACCACATAGCTAATAGTCTACCCATCAGTGATAAATAAACATGTTAATAACATTTTATTTCTTAATATATTTATGCATAAAACTTTTATCATTAAAAGTTCGATTTTTCAGTAGATAACATAACTGAATACCCGCAGAAAATAAATCAGAAATACATATATATTTTTTCCTATTTCATATATTGATAATCATGCGTGTATGTCCACGGTAACAAGCATAATAATATTAAGTGTAGTGTATATTTATATGATATTTAAGTACAATTATTAATTCTATATGAATAATTACAATTTGTGCTATATTCATTATATATAATAAAATTATAAAATTTATACATTAGAAAAAGCTGGATTGAATTTTGTGAATAGGAACATTTGTCAAATTATTTTCTACGAATGTATCTATATAATCAAATAATAATAATATCATAAATTAATTAATAATATAATAAATAATAATTATAGTCACTTTATTTAATGAGTTATTGAACATTCTTTTAGTTAAACTAAATATAATGAAAATATATTTTATCGAAAATAAAATAGTTTAAATAAATGTATATTTTCGTATTGTTTAATATAATTTACCAAAATTATTCATAAAAAGACATTTTTTTATCCTTGTTATAAATCAGATGTATTCCAAAAAATAATTTTCATAAAATTATTAGTTATTGATTGTCTTTTATTTAATTAAGGAAATTATAGATATTCAAATTAATAGGTATATATTTCCTTATATTAAAATACAATTAATATATTATTTCTTTAATTTTATGATATTGCATAAATGTATATTATGAATAATGTTAATACAACATATTTTTCTGAATAAATAAATATTATATTTATTGTTATTCTAAACTTCATTAATTAGGTTGCATAATGCATATGACTTTTCTTATTTCAAGATCATTTCATTAGTATTCTTGAAATTTTCTAATATTTTTGTGATTATTTATACAGTATAAATTAAAAAATGTGCTTTTTTCTCATAAATTAATATCTTACTGTATATTAATCCTTAAAAAATGAATCTATATAGATTAAAGTACATGTTTCTAAAGAAAAATAAGTTATAATTGTTAACCAAATATTTATTGTGTGCCTATGAAATAAAAGCTTCAACTCTTTATTAATTTGATCCGTAGAATTATTCATAAATAATGTATTAAATATGTTTTTTTAGAATAAATTATTATTCCTTATACACTTCCATATATCAGGTGCTAAATTGTAGTAGAAATAAATAAATTCATACACATAATTTTCAAATTTAATATTATTAAATGAAAGAAATTAGAAATATCTCAAATTTTATAGTACAATAAGAAAACTATATGATCTTGTATTAAAAAATATTGTTATTAACAACCCTATATTTTCATTATTTTAATAATTAATATATATACAAAATTAAGTGGTGGGAGATTTTCACTATTCATAGAATAATACATTAAATATAGCAATAAAAAAAAAGTATATATTATAATAATTATGTACATTATAATGATCATGAAAAGAATAAAATATTATATAGGCTTTTTTTATTATATCATTTAGTTATATATAATAAAATTTAGTTTTTCCTTTTAGAGTGCTTTACTTGCCGTTCTTATTAATAGCTTTCAAAAATAAATAAATTTATCGTCACGTAATATTCTTAATCTGCATTAATAAATTTATGACATAAACATTGCAGATTGCTATTATAAGGCAACTTTTATATATATAATATAATATTTATCTATATGAATACAATGTAATTGTTTTTAAGAGTAATGTATGAGAATCGAATGCACAAATACGTATCACATAAAAATATAATATAATATTTTTCTTATGAGTTGTATATAATTAATTCATCATAGTCTAATTTTTAATAAAAGTGTATTTTCTTATATTTTTATATCTACATATGCTTATTATATAAAATTCATAATATATAAACAAAATACTAAAAAATATAAACTTAAAGTCTGAGTAATAATATGTAGGATTAAATTACATTTATAAATTACGGAGAATGCTTTTATATTAATTATATATTGATATTTAATTTTCATTTATAACACAAATGCCATTAAATAAAATAGAAAAATAAAAAACGAAATTCTAAATACTTTCTTTAATCTTAGAACATATTTTTTTTTTTTTTATGATTTGTTTTTTTTTTACATAATATTATAATTATTTTTTATGTTCTTTAATGCAAACTATATAATGTGTTTTTGTAAAAACAATAATATCATGAGCCTTTGTTTTTAAAATATTTAAATTTTTGTGCTTCGGCAAAAATTTTTATTAATATCACAATGAATAAAAAAAATACATGAATAATTAGTTCATACCATTATAAATTAGTGACATTCAAAATTAATGTATTATATGTATTACTTTATAATTATATTAATTATGGAGTTCTCAATAAATATTAATATACGTTGTAATATTTCCTATCTGATACATTATAATAGCAATAATTATATAATGTATACGAATATAAATGCATACAATTGTTATTGTTTGCTCAAAGAATTATAAACTCTACCCAAATTATGACAATATGTATTTATAAATTATTATTGAGATTGCATCATATTACAAATATTGAATTATATAAAACAATTTATATTGATGCCCTTAAGTACTAAATTTAAATATCCTTCTTTGGAAAAACATTTGGAATAAAAAAATTACATAATTTTTATATTAATATGTTCTTTTCATGTATTGTATTAAAGTATTAGGCAGTTACATACTTTCTTTAAATATGAAAGGTAAAATTCACAAAAGTATATCAGATATATATTATGACTATGATATCTATAATATCATTGGAATAATGCGCACAATCATTTTTAAATAATATTTGTTCTGTATTCATTAAAAATTATATATATAATAAGTATTATTTTTTCTAGGATTTTTAATCATTCATTTATAAGGTAGAGAATATATAATTATAATAATAATAATATTGATAAAAATAAGGTTGTTGAAATAGTTCAGGTATTATTAAGAGTAATTTATTTCAGATTATTTCACATATGAATAATAAATAAATTTATTATATTTCAAAGTTTATTGTTTGACAAATATGAAGTTATTATTTATTAATAGTTAATAATTTTTGACAAAATATTTAATAAAATAATGTAAATATAAAGTTATCGTATTAGTAACGTATGAAGTATAATGATACTTTTTTTATATAAAATTTATATGTATCCCTGGATATTGCATTTATAAATCCTTTTATATTAATCATTAAATATACTACAAATAACTTTTTAATATGTAAGGCAAAAATATGTAGGTATAACATATTTTTACATACATACCTAGTTAAATGTTATATAACTAATAATTAAAATGTGTCACATATATATGTAATTCATTTTTATTAAACAATTTATATAATAAAATAATCCTAATATTTTTTTTTATGTGAATGAACTAAATTCCAAATAAAGAGAGTTTTTTATTCCTAAATATTCCTTTTTTCCTATTGAATTTTATATTACAATATATTATATTAAATATAAAAAAGAAGAAAATGACATATATATATGTATATAATAAATGGTAATGTTCTTCATTAGCATATCATTTTTTTTAAAATATGTATTAAATAGGTTATATAATATCGTAGAGCTTTGTAATGTATTTCATTAGGCATAGAAAATTTTTCTTCAATAATACATTTGCATAATTTTTTTCTCATTAATATATGTAATATAATGTATTACTCTTCACAAAGTATTACTAATATAGTTTATATTAGTTTGCTATTGATAATAACTCTAATTTATGCCAATTTTGTACAAAAATAAAAATTATAACAAAGCACATTGTATATTCATGCATTATGTTTTATAATTTGAAACTGCATATTTGTGTACCATTATATTTTATTATTCTATAATTTTTTAATTGTTAATGAGTATAATGTCATCACAGGAGAGTGAAAAGCGTGTATGTATTAATTGTTATAATACATATTACAATGTTATAATTTTTTAAAATTTTCCTTTTTTATGTATTTTTTATATAACAATATTTAGTGTAATATATATATTTGAATGTTTTTATTTTTTTAATATTTTTAGTACCAAGAATTAGATGTAGTTTTCTCAAAATATAAACATATTATGGACAAAAATGAAACACAACTACAATTGGACAGATGGAATATATATTGTCTGAATTTTGATGATAAATTCGATACTGTTGATAAATTCAGGGATAAAGACAAATTATGCCCTCAAGCCATGAGATATTTATATAATATATACAGTGATGTTTATAGTCCCCCGGAAAAAAACCACTTTAAATATCTTTATTATTGGATATATAAACATCATCTAAAAGCGGGAAAAGATAGGAACTATATCAAAGACTTCTACAAGGAAATAATTAGGGTATATGAAAAACAAGGTTATTTTTTGAGTAATGTGGATTCTAGTAAAAAAGATATTTTTGATAAAGAATTGGAAGTAATCACAGATATATGTGATTACAGTACTAAACTTAATGATATAAAGAACAATACATTTAAATCATGTAAAAGTAGTCAAAAATGCAATTGTGCTAATGAATGTGCTGATATATATCTACGCCGATATAATGCATGTGAGACTATTGGGGTCGTCATTTTTGTTATATATTAGAACGTAATAAAAATGAATACAATGAATTAAATTTATCAGAAGATTGTGATAATCTTAAATGCAAAACATTACCTTGTGAAAATTCTGAGAGTATAATGTCACCTTCTCACAAAATTAATAAATCAAAAACTGCTATGATATCATCTATTCTAATATTAATAATACCCGCTTTATTATTTATAATTTATAAGGTTAAATGTGATGTTCATATATATATTTATAAAAAAAAACTTTTAAAAGATAAAAAGAAACAAATTATAATATTAATATATTTTTAATACATAATATTTTCTATTACAAATTAGTTCCTGCCATATAATTCATGCTTACATCGTGAAATAAAAAAGATAATAAATAAGTGTCGTGATCTCAAGAAAGAATGGAGTAAATTGGATAACTCAGAAATATATAACAATATATACTTGAATAATAATTTTAATGTCTTATATAGTTCCCATTATATTGACGAATAATTATATATTGCATTAAAATTATTTCTTTAAACTCATATTGTATAAATTAATCAAAATATTTTAAGAATTCTTCCATCAAATAGATCATGCAAATAAAAAATAATTCACAGACAATATAAAATAATAAAAAAATAATAATACGTTAATTTAATGAAATAATATTTCAGAGAGTTTCTATACTATTTTTGAATTTATATCTAAGCCAACGAAATTAAATTTTTTTTTTATTTGTATGTTTGAGAAAATGTTTATACATTCACACATAAATTTTTGATGTATTTTTCTTATTGTAATATGTAAAAACAAGGAAGATTATCAATTTGATTTTTATTAATTTACATGATCTTTAATCATATTTTTTACTCTATAAGAGATTTCAGATTTTTTTCATATTTCATTAAATATTAATAATTCCTAAATTAATTCTGTAACTAATATAAAAAAATATATTTTAATTTTATTATATATACTATATTAACTTTAGTTCTGATGTATTATAAATACTAATTTATGTATAATTTATATGATTTTATATATATATTTATATGTATGTATGGAATTATTGCATCATATTTACTACTTACATGTATTATTTGTTTTCATAATTCATGTTATTTCACAAATATTTTTCAGGATTAATGTATTATGGTTCTATATGTTGTAGTTATTTTATTATAATTACTCTATTAGTAATACATATAATTATTAATTATTATAAGCATTGGATCTATCATGTTTTGATTCATAACATAAAACAACGGCCTAATATTATAAAATTGTTCGTATACTATTTTCTTTATAGATTTTGATATTATTTTAAGAAATAAATAAATGTAAAGAACAATTATACGTTTCATATGTTTAATCAATTGGAATAGTTAATTTGTGCTAAATTCATATAACCTTACTTTGATTCAGAAGAAAATTGAAAGCATAAAATACCCTTATTCAATTCCTATTATTCATTGTTTAGAGTTATATATATAATATGCTATTTTACTTTATATACTAGTATATATAAATATTCAATATGTAATTATGCAACAGCAGCAATATATTTATTTTATAATCTAATAAATTACATTGCTCTTTTCTTTTTGAGCTTATTAAAAATAAGCTAAACATTAAATTATTATAGTTTATTTATTTTTGTTTAGCATTTTATCAATTATAATACCACATAATGAATAATACTAAGCAGGTGCATTGTATTTAAGATAAAATATTACATATATATACGTAATATTAAATATATATCAAACAGTAATCATACAATAAGTATTATATTTTTTATTCAATTGTAATATTGAATAAAAATAATGCAATAACATTCAATAATATCTGAGATAATGTTATTTAATATAAATTATATATACAATAAATGAATATGAAATATAAGAAAAGATAAGAGATAAATCAAATATATACCATCTTTATAAAAATAGCATATTTTAGAGAATTATATATATATAATATTTATAAAACTTATTTAATTTAATTAATTATACATATGTGATTCATAATTCTTTATATTAACTATAAATTATTATTGTCCTCATGGAAATTAATACTTATGCTTGTAAAAAAAATATAATGTCCTTGAATTTAATCTTTGATAATACAATTTAGATAAACAAAAATTATATTTTATTAGAAAATGTATTATTATAAATTTAAGGATATATATATATATATATATATGATAAAGAAACCTTTGATATATTATGGTAAAAGTATCTCTAAAATATTTAATCTGAAAAATTTATTAGTAGTATAGTAAATATATTATACATATTAATTAACAAGATCATTATCTTCATTTCCATAAATATACATACTTGTGTGAAATAATCAATGTTATATTTCATAAATTATACTATGGTACTTAAATAGAAACATTCCTTATTTACACATGTGAACTCAAATGATATGTTTTAATTCACATACTTCTTAATTCCTATATTTTTTTTTTGGTGTCCTATATATTATTTATATAATTAGATTTGAAAAAATTAGTTATGTATTCTATGTTTAAATTTCGTATACATATATGAGATCTCATTGGAACACATAAAATTAATGCTATATTTTTTATATAAAATATAGAATTCTCTATATATGTTTTATATATATTATAATTATAAACACTGTATTATCATTTTCTTATAATATAAAGTAAACATTCATTCGCGCATATCTTACGTGCTATCATATATGACATAAGCTATATATTAATTTTCATCCCAAAAATCCCTAATATAAGAATATATAAAATTTGATGTTTTTATAAAAAATGAAATGTGTAAACAAGTATTTTTTTTTCATATTATATAAAAGAATTCTAACTTAATATATCACAAAAAAAAGTAATACAAAATTGTAAACAAAAAACAAGTATAATCAATCAAAAACCTTGTATCAAATAAAAGATAAACTTTAATTCTAATAAAAAAAAAATAATAAAAGTTATATGAAATTATTTATTAATATTATAAACGTGGCATAAAATAACATACATATATTTAGAGCATTCTATATGAATTTCTTATAAATTGGGTATATATGTATTTATGTGTATGTTTATCATGAGAATATAATAAATAGAAATACATTTTCAATCATATTATGTTATAAAATATAATAATTTGTTATAACATTTTAGTTGAACTATATTTAATTATAACTTACATATGTAATTTCATTATGGACTAACATATTAGCTAATATTCTATATCTTTATTTTATATGTATTATACATAAATTAATGTAAAAATGACATATTCATTTAAATAAAAATACATAATAGCAAATAAAACACTCATTCCTTATTTTGTATTTTTTGTTCTACATTTATATTCATGGTGAAGGAGACTTCAAAAATTATATATTGTTCTATTTAAATCCTTATATTTCGAATACAAAAAAATCATGTTCATTTATTCTTTGTTATATATAAATAATTATTTATCTTTCACATAAATTTATCAAATGTATCAATGTAAATATATATTACAATAATTTATATATTGCTTAAATATAATATTTTCTGCTTTTTATATTATAAACAAATAAATTAGTGAGAATTATATAATATATGATATTTATTGTTTCTAAAATCACTATTGGGTGCTAAAGATAATTCCTGTATATTCATTTCCTCATCTATATTATTATATTGTCTTCTTATCTTCATAGCCCTACATAGAAATCTTGGGCTATAAGGCGTGAACTAATTTATAATTAAAAAAAATAATATATAAAATATGTTACAGTTTTTTCTAAAAAAGTGTTCATTTTAAATTATTTAAAAACATTATATTGTTGTATATGCATATACAAATAACATAATTATTACCTTATAACAGATAAATAAAAAAGAAGATATTGCTAAAATTACAAAAATTGGAATTAATGTAAGGGTTGTTATATTATGATTTTGAAAGGAGGGTAAAATTTTGGGCGTTTCAGATCCACATACATTGCTTCTCATTTTATCATCATATTGTTTTTTTATTTTTAATAATTCTTTACAAAAATATGCATCTCTATGATATTTACATGTTTGCACATGTGTTCCATATATTTCGGAACATTTCTGTAAGCATTCACAATTATTATTACAAGAATTATTAAGTTTAGTGTACATGTCATTCAGATCATTGAGTTTTGACATTTCATTATCCGTAGGTGTATTGTAATCTCTTCCTATGTATCCGCTACAATAATTTAAATCAACAGATGTTATCAATTCTTGATAAAGACTTTTAACTTCACTCATATATTTCTTACCATTTTTATAATATAGCCAATAATACAAATATATGCAATGGGATTCGGTAAAATTATATTCACTCCTCTTTTTTTTTACAGTTTCCCCATAATTTTCCACTTTTTCGCATATTTCCTTAACAGAGGAATTAAAAACTGGAAATTTATCAATTTCAATTGTATCACAATTACCAGTATTCACTCCCTCCCTAGTGTGTATTGGATTTTCCATAATAGACCACAATTTAGGAAAATCCTTTGCAAATTTAAACTAAGGATAAATAAAAAATTATTATAAATGAAAAATTATAAAATGTTAAAATTATTTTTATTAATATTATATAAAAATATTAAATAAAAATGTTATAATGTATTAATTTATACTATAATATTTAAGATATACAATATCATTATCCATTTCTAATATGTTTATATTTCTTTACAGAATGCATAGGTAGAACAATGAAATGTATGGAGATATATATAATGTTTTAAAAAATTAATTTTTAATTTCTGATGTAAAAAAATATTATCATCATATTTAATTATAGAATTGATATAAAAATTGAACGAACATCTTGATTATTAAAATTCACACATAAAAAAATAAATAGCAATCGTGGTAGCAAATAATATACTTCTTAGTTATTTTATGGGAAAAAAATAAATATTATTTGCTGGAATCAGAACAATTTGAATAAATATATGTTCATTGTTTTAAGTGTCCAAAATATTAAAATTATATAATTTTACTAATTCAATAAAGACAAGAAAAAAATATAATATTATTTTATATTATGATCATAACTATATAAAAAATAATATTTATTATTTCCTAAAATGTCTTTTTTATTAAGATATATATGATTTAATTAAAGATCTATAATATATTTAAATATATAATTATTAAGGAAATTTTGAAGTTAATTCATTTCTTTTATGTAACAAATGATATATGCTTATTAAAATACTCTATCTTGTTTTAAGAAATATGGATATCAATACCATTTATTAAATATAAAAATGGATGTGATAATATATAAGTTTTATAATATATTTAAATTACAATAACACATGACACTCTAAATATTAAATTTATATTTTTTTTATTTATCTCATATATGTGAAGAATATACCTATGCTGCAAAAACTAATTTATTAAAAATTTAGACACTCTCTACAAAACACTTATATTAAGGTTATAAATAAACATGTATTATCATTTATATAACAATTCTTATTCATGTACAATATTTCGAAGTTTTATTTACTTTGATCTGACAAATATTACCAGTTCTTATAGAAATTAAAAGAATATATACAAGAAAACATTGGTTTTATAATATAATGAATATATAAAATTTTTATAATCAGGATTTTTCAAGAATTAATTATTCCTTATAACCTTTGCATAATGTTTTAATTATGAGCATTATATATATCAAAATTATTCATCCTAATTATGTGATATGATGCATTTTTTGTGCATACTATAATAACACATGTAATGTACATTTCATTATGTGAATAAAAATCAACATTAACATAAATATTATTCCTTATATTTGGCCATGTAATGTATAAAATAATATTTTTAATAAAAATGTTTTCTTCTTTGTCCTCAATTTTTCACAATGAATTTAAAGATGTAAACTATAATTTTATATAATAAGTATATAGAACGATTAGTCGTAATAATTTTGTATAGCACGTAATTAAAACTTATTAAAATTTTATTTTTCCATAGAAAAATATATTCACTTTTAAGAAATAAAAATATTAATTATCATTACTGATTTCTATCATAACAAATTTTCTTTGCAATTTTATATATTTTTTATTATTCATAAATTGTTACTTTTCAATGAAATAACGAATTCCGTGGTATAAGTAATATATGATTTATATTATGAATTCTACATATATATTAAAGAATTATTATTCTATAAGTTAACGTTTTCCTTAGTTCCATGCATTTAACACATTGAAAGATCTTTTTATTTTAAATTGAATATTATTAAAATTATGAGACTATAAAAATAGCCTCGCGACAAAATTTTAAATTAATTTATTACAATACAACTAAATGTTGTATAACAGAAAAATATATTTATAAATTAGAATTACCTTCATAATAAATTACTTAATGAAGAAAATTATTAATTATCATGATTACTGTGTAACATATTTTTTTATTTATAAAATTAATGCTGAAAACACTTCATTAAAAAAAACTATTATATATGAACTCCACACGGAATAAGAAGCTTGTACATAAATATGACACCGTAGGATGACGACGCATGATTTATTAAAAAAATATTGACTGCGTATATATCCTTCCTTGTATAACATACAAATGATATTAATAAACTGTGCCAATGAGACAAGATTCTTAAATAGAGAGTATATGAGATATGCATAAAATTATAAATATAATAAGAAGGAACGCATTGTATAATTACATATAAGAAAATGAAAAAATTCATCACATAATTTTATAAAAAATTAGATAAAATTCTAAACTAAGAGAAAATGGTGAATGGAAGGAAATATGAAATATATATTGAACACTTATGTTAGATTCTAGAAGATTTTATAATGAATCTTTACAGGAAAAGAGACTATAATATATAAATATATACTGAATTCATGTTCTATCTCTGTAATAGAAACATATGTTATATAAAATGGATATAGTTTTATGATTTTCTAAATACAAAATATTGAATTCATAAGAATTATATATCATCAATATATTACCCTCTAAAGTTATAAGAATAATTATCATTATATAATCGTATAATGTCTATATGAAAACATAATTCGTAGATTTATAAATGTAACTATTATTCTGATGAAAATGGTAAATACTAATTACCAAATTTTGTAAATAAAAGTTCTTCTGTTAATTTTTATTTTGATAATTATTTAATTATGTCTATATGATAATCTAAAAACAGTATCAAAAACACAAAATTAAAAAAAGCATAAAAATACTAGAAATGTGTTGTACAGGAAATCAATTAACAAAATATTTTTATGAAAAAATATATGGTAAAAATAGTTACTTTTCTTACATCAATAATAACATTTAGTAAACATGCGTATAATAGCCTTCAATTTTAAACAACATTTTCTAATATTTCCATATATAATATTCTTATAATTTCATATTTAAATGGAATATATCATGTGTTACAATGTTCATTTATATTCCATACACTTTTTTTTTATTTTTATATGATATGTGGTAATGATAAAGCGCATAATTATGAAATGTCTTACATTTCTAATAAAACACTCTAATTAAAATATATTTATAATATAATTCAATATTTAATACTAAAAGATTTCTGTATTCGTATATGTTGCATTCCACATATATTTTTTAATAAATAGGGTTATATATTTATTAATGCTTATTCCTTACATTACCTTTTTATATATATAACATCTTTTTTATACATTATTATGATCTCATATATATGTATTATATAATATAATTCTTTTTTAATATAGAATTAAATTATTAATTTATATTTGTTGTATTATAATTAGATTATTCTTTATGCTTTGCATGATTAATTCCGTAAAAAATTGTTTATTAAACTCATATAATAATACTTTTTTTATTTTTCATTTCTAGGGCGTAATATTAATAAATAATAAATCTTTTTATTTACATATATAATTACTGATAAAATGTAGTATACACATATATTCTTCCTATTTTATGTTTCCACATTTACTTGTGTGATCAAATTTCAAGTTACTTCATTTTATTTATAGAATGCATTTAACATTGTAAACCAATGAAATTTGTATACTTTCTTTTACATTTGTCATTTTTTTGATAAAACTCTTAATATTATTTAACTATAAATGTATATAAAATAGATATGAATATACATAAAACGCAGATAATTACCTTATGAAGTACATAATATATATTAAAGAGAATAAACTATATATTACATTTAATAAAAACGAACATTAATATGTTAAAAAAAATATATATTCCATTATTATATATATTCTGTATAAACTTTATAGAACATTCATATGATTAAAATGTAGAAAAAAACTTAATAATTATATATATTTAATTGCAATTATTAATATTTTTTTGCTTTATTTTTCACATTTATTGTATTCTTTTAAAAATAATATATGGAATAATATACAAATTGACTAAAATACATTTTCGTCTACATCAAAAAATGTTCATAGCTTGAATTACATAGGAAACCTTATAATTTATGCATTTCAAAAAAAAAACAAATTAATATATTATACTAGTCATTTACATAGGTTTATTTTTATATGAATATTAAAATTCAGAAAAATGCCACATGTACATAGTTTTATAAAAAATTAAATGATACAGACATGAAGAAGTTAATATAAATGAGGATTACTTAATAAATTTTATGACATAATTGATTTTTGTTATTACGTTTTTCAAGAAATACAATCTAATATTACAGAAGCGGAAAGAACGCTAATTATGATAGCATGTAGACATAAATATTGGATACGTTCTTTTAATAATACATTGTTATATATTGTATAATATTACAAAACATGATTAGATAATTCATCCTAATAAAAATGATTAAGGAAACATATAATGTACAAAAAAGCATTTCTATATATTATATACAAAATTTATTTAATATAATTTTTCTCATAGAAAAAAAAATATAATTCATATGTTTTCCCTGATAATGTGTTAGCATACCATATACTAACGTAACTTAGAATACCTATAAATATGTTTTCAAAATAATATTCATAGCATGAATTAAAATTCAATAAAAAACTAGAGAATAAAATAGGAATATAAATTACAGTTTAATTAGCATTAACCCCGTTCTTAATTAAGTAGTAAAGATGCATTTATTTTAAATATATCATATATAACTCCTACGAAAAAGTAAAAAAAAATCAATATATTAGAATTTTATATTAATAAGAAAAAATTTTGCCATAATATATATTATAATAAAATAGCTTCGAAACACGAGAAAAAAGAATATAATTATTGTTTTTTTCAAAAATGTCACAAGCATTATCGTGACACATTAAAAAAATATATGTGATGATGTAGACAAAAAGTTCTAAATACATCCATTTTAGGGATAATAGATATTTCACTTAATGGTTTATATTCAATGCCTTTTTTATAAAATTTGGAACACATTTTATGTCATATATATATTAATAAACAAATTATATATTTTTCAATTTTCATCATTCTTAATTTTACATGGAACATATATACTGCGAATCATTATAATAAATTATGAATATTGATTTTTATTCTTTTGTATATTCTATTACATCTTTAACAAGAAAGAATTAAAAAGAGGAAAAAATAAATAATTTCTTAGGAGTTTTTTGTAATAACAGTTG